TCCAATACGGAATTTTTCTCTACAAATGACAGGAAACGGCACAGTTCAGTATTTTTCTAGCATTCCCATCCGATCCAAAACTAAATATTCATTTTAAGAAAACACTAATCTCTGAATGTTTTTGTTTAAAGCCATTTAAAGATCATTTCTAGCAAAGCTGGGAAGCTGGATACAGACATAAGCTCATTAAGGGCCATGCTATGGTTATTATTAAAATACCACAATAGTCCATCTTCTCATGCATACACAACCTTGCATAACTGGAGATGTCAGCATTTTCATTGTAAATTCTGCTTTCAGAGGTTTCAAACTTGCCTGTAAAAAAGTTGCTATGGCCTGAAACTTGTTGCTATTTCCCTGCCAAGGAAGAACTATTTTAATATTAGGAAACTATGCATTCATTGGAGTCGGCCACTGGTTTGGGGTTTTATCTATACAAGCGGTTTAAAAAAAAGAATAAAAAGATTAAAAGACCTCACAACTCAGCATCTTTGAAAGTCTTCTGGCTCAAAAAAAAAACCAAAAAAAAACCAAAAAAAACAAACCCTCACTAAAGGAATCAAATTCCCAAAAGTTAATAACTATTATACTCCTTCAAAAAGTTTCAGCTGTATGGCAGATAAGCCTAAAACATGCAATTATTTCTGCTACTTTGCAAAAGAGTAGCCACACTGAGAGACTACCAACTCCCAGTGTCTCATCAACACTGACTGTAAATAACAACCCTACCCATGTCCAATTAGTTTGAAGCTCAAGACCATGCCCTGCTAAAGGGCTGCAGATTTTAAACACAGAATGGACACATTAAGACTGATTTAATCTGGCTGCTTGTACAATTCCCCAGAATCTCAGCTAGCAAATCCTGTACTGGGCCAAATAACTTACTGAACCAGATCCCTGAAAGGGCAGCCAGCCCTCACCCGAAGCTGTGGGGATGTCACATTCCTCCATAATGGGCTTTAATAATTGCCCTTCCATGAAATAAAATTAAAAGGAAAAGAAATTAAAAAGATAAAGCCGACTCTGATTTAACTAATAGGTTTGAATTCTTAATTTAACTCGCAGATATCAAAGCCGCTGTTCTCGTTTGAAAAAGAAAAAGCCAAAATAAAACAGCCCAAAGGGAACCCTGGGTGAACCATTTGCTTTCTTTTTTTCCTACCAAACCAGAAGCAGCATTCTGGTGCTCTGTCCCAGGAAAATGATGGATGTGCAGGGTCCCCCCAGCCCTGTGGCCTCTCAGCTGGCTGGGGATGACCCATGGGGACAGCCCAGGTTGGGGAGTGGGACAGGGGACATCGCACCACCATAGCATCCCTCCTCCACACATGGGAGCACCTCACAATATCCCACATCCTGACTCAGGCAAGGCACAGCAGCTTAAGAAGGATCTCCAAGTGCACAGTGCTGACCACTGTGACCACAGGTGACATTAATCTTTAAGCACTGCCAACATTTTCACAAAAATGAAGGTACGTTGCAAATATGACTCAACATTTTTGCAGAAAGACAGGTGCTGTGCTGAACATACCTATTTTTGGATGTTGTTTAGTGTGAGCAAGTGGGTATGACTGAGTAAATCCCATAGAAAAACCCATTATTCACTTCCACCATAAGCACACATCACCCCTTAAAGGGGATCTCTCCCTTTCCCTGCTGCTCCTGGGAACCTCCCAAATTTAGGACCACTCTGAACTACTGTGTTTTCCACAGGACACAGAAATAGGCTGTCCCTTGTGGAAAGCTTAAATTAATCCTTTGAAATTTGACCTAAATTAAAAGAATTGAAACGTGTTGTCACCACACCGGGCGGGGGCTCCGAGTGGGTGCTCCAAGGACGGTGTCAAGGCATTGCAGGAGGGTAAGAGCCCAAATTAGCTCCCCAGCAGGATGATAACACACAGTCTGGGCAAGGGGAGGTCAAGGGAGAGCTCACTATTTATCAAATATATGTCTAAACTAATTATTCAGTTCACAAAGTAAGCCTTGAGCCCGTGTGTGCGGTCAGAGCCCTTGTGAAACGCTGGCTATCATCAAAGGCCTGGGCACACACAGGCTCAGAGAATGCTGCCTTTGTGCACGCTGGGGGAGGCTTGCTTCTAAATGTTTAAAAGCAGAAAAAGTCCCTCTGCTCCCCTAGGACGAAAAACATGTATGTAAACACTTGATGTGAGATATAATCTGAGAGCTGACAGTCGCCACAGAAGTCCTACAGGTCCTGTTTCTGCTCACACAGCTCACATCTGGCCATCACTGCTCGGGAATGAAGCACCACAGCTGAGATCCACCACACTCAGGATCCCACAGTACCAGCACCAACATTACCACTCACGATGGATCAAAATGCCATTTTCAGTGTGAACACTTTCATACGGACCAGAGTGATACCCCATGGTCACAGAGGGACATTTATTTACTCAAGAGGGACTGAGAAGAGCCAAAAAGCACAGCACCCCCTTAATACATGACATCTTGCACATATCCACCAGCTGATTACCCTGCTAGATAAATACTGCTTGAACTAAAGCACACGCTTCAGTACTTTTCATACATAGCCAGACACTCTGAAGAAAATTATTTCAAAAATGCCCCTAAAGTTATGCATAGTTGAGAAAAGGTATTTTCTCTGTTACACCCAGAGGAACAAATCTCAATTCCTGTTAATGTTGTACAGCACTTCCAATAGTCTGAGTCACTAAGACAATAAACAATAACAATCCAAGCACCTTGTATTAAAAATAAATAAGTAAAAGCAGACAACTCAGGGCATGTCCGTGAAGGAAGACTCAGGAGCAGATCAGCCAATGTCACCAAAGGTCATGGCCCTGCCGACCTCCTCAGCTGGCATGAAATGTCATAGCTCTAATGACTGCAGCCAGCACCCCCACTGAAAATTTACATTATTGCAGCACCTGACCCCCCAAATTAGCTGTGTCCAAAACCTTCTGGCATTTACTAAATTAAAAAAGAAATCTGCTCTGTCTTTGAAGAGATCTTTTGAAGGGTTTTCTTGGTTTGGGCTTGGAGAGCTTGTGGGTGGCAGTGATAGAACCCAGAGAAGGTGACTGTGTAAAAACTTGGTTGTGTTTTGGTTTGTTTTTTCTTATCAAAGGGTTTCATGAATACATAAAGGAGGTTTTATTTCCCAAATCTGAGATATAAATCGCACACAATTCCCTGTATTCTGCAGCATAAAAGCTCTTATTATGCTATTAACTTAGAAGAGTTTTCTGATTTTTTTTCTTGTTTCTGGTAATGATTTGGGTTCTCACATCTAAAATTGTTTCACATCAGTAACATTCCTGCCCAGGAAAGAAGTTTTAAATCTTTTCTAACAATTTACTCTTTGATAAAACCCAGATTCCACCCCCAACATATTCAGTGTGTAAGAGACAAACTCAGACAGTGCTTTCCAAAATAAAAAAAAGCTATTCTTTCCCTGAAAAGTTACAAAATTACCAGTCACCATCCAAAAAGTATTACTTTTCTTCCTGTAAAACACTTCACCAGTCTTCAAATACATTATTTCTGACTTAACCCCAAAAACTAGGGGACCTTACTACAAAGCTAGTCTGAAACCAGAATTATTCATGATTTTGTCATTCTCCTGAAAAGCCAAAAAGGCACCAGATGTTGAATTAACAAATCATACAGTAAGTGGCAACAAGAATTGGGCTTTTTTTCTTTTTTAAATCTCGGGTTACCTTCTAAAGAGAAAAAAAAAAAAAAGGCATTTTTGCTATCAACCATCTCTGTGGCTGACAGATGACAATATTGCTATTCTTTGAGAGTTTTTTTCAGGAACGTTTGCTAGGGAAGAGGGCTCATCATCTCTAAATAGTTCATCCCCTGCCATCAATAAAAATGTACTTGGAGTGGATTCTAAAAATGCGTTAGCTGGTGACGTCTATTTTTAGAGGCAGTGGATAGAAACAAATAAGTTTTGCATGAAGAATTATTAAATAAAAACGAAGCTGCGTCCATGGACATGAGTAGTAGAATGTGTAAAGGCCAAACTCTCTGCATCAATCTTGCCAGCTCAGAAATGCTCTGTGGACTATTAGATCAGCTTGACAGCTGAGTTATTGGAACTGTGATCACTCCTCCAAAAGACAGATACAACCTTATGAAAGAAGCCTCACTTCCTCCCACAGATGCTCAGAGAGCAGGAATGATCCAGCACAACACAGCAAAATCATTCTTCAACACAATCAGCCCACAACAATAAAAAAGCAGCCCCTCCTGAGCTCTCCAGAGAAGAAAACCACTTTGCAAAGCTTGAGGAACAGACAAACCAAGACGAACATACAAGGGTAGGCTTAAAATAGGAGATTTTTTCAAAACACCTTTTTCAACGCCAAGGTCTAGACTGGCCCTTGCTCTCACAGCAATTATCTCCAGCCCTTCTATTGAGATGTCAACATTCACACCTCCAGAACTGGTGATCCAGACACTGCAGCACCGATTGTGCCTGGATATTAACAGCACCAGGGAAGTTCGTCCCGAGTGCAAACACCAACAAAGCTGCAATACCATTTTTGCAGAGTGCCTGCAAAACTAAACATTCACAAATGAAAACTACCAAGATTCATTTCTCTCTGGACTCCTCAGGTTAAGACAATCCCAAAGAGCAGCAGCCACTCATCCGCTTCGTTCCTTGAGACAGCAACACACAACAGCACCAAAGTGCCACGGACTGGTTTCCTTAAAGACCCGTTCCTGAAAACTTTCATCTGTGCACTTTGATTATACAACGTGATGACAGTCCCAAGTGAAATCACTGACACCACTGGCTTGCACAAGAATAAACAAACTCACGCTTGTACAAACACAGCCCGGGCGAGAGCAGGGAAAGTCAGAAACCGTAACTCTCCAGGGCTGCTCTGTTCCTTGCCTTAGATTTACCAGAGCACATGGAAAGATCTTGACTTCTATTTCAGAATGTCCAAGAATTTAAAATTAAGTTCTTTTAAGGAATGAAGCATTGGAGAGTGATTTACCTTCAGGTTCCACCGTGGTGTCTTCAACAACTAAATTAAATGAAGGTCGAGCCAGGGAAAGTCCAGCCATGGTGACCACCACCAGGCAGATAAGGCAACCCGAATCCCAGCTGACCATCTTTTTAGAGTAAATTCCTGGTCCATTTCCATATCTCCATGTGGACTTTAATCCCATCTGAGCACCTCTAGAGAAGCATGGAGAGAAAGCTGTGCCTTCGGCCAGGGTAATGCCTCCTCCCTTGGAACGACGGCTGCTGCTGCGGGGAGGAGAGAGATTGAACACTGTCAGCAAAAACATCTCAAAACACAAACCAAGAACCTTCATAAAGCCTCAAACGGAGCTGAAGTGAGAGGGAGGGGAGCAGGAGGATGGGAAAAATAGTTTTCCAGCTTCAAGAATATGTGAAAAGTGAGTGACTTTTCATCTTCTGTTAGCAGTTTCCATCATCACCTGAGGCGTAACCAAGTCCTCCTTGTTTTCACAAAATCACTTCTCAGCACATATTGAGAGCTATTTTACTGACAGAAAAACATACAGGTTTTCAAAAATGAGAGGCACCCACATGTGCAGGCACATAACCTGTAATGCTACAAAATTACCACAATTATACAAATTATATTCTTGTTATTGTTTGAAGGTTTATGTAAGTTTGCCTTGTTTTTCATTCCTTCACCTAGGCAGTTCTGCAGCCAGATGAATTTGCAGGAATTCAGTAATTTTCCACAAGAAAAACAGTTGAAAAAAATATACTGCTTAGACTTGGAAAAATCCGTCAGACTATTTCAACTCAGGACTTCCAGCTCCCCCATGGAGGTACCTTCTTCTGACTCAGTTTAGTGTCCTTTGGAAGCCCCTGAGTCCTGGGCAGGTGAAAGGCTCAAGTCTTTGCAGTGATATTGGTTTGCTACGCTGCATTACAGGCAATTAAAATCTGTATAAAATATGGTATAGATTGCTATTTCATAGGAGACCTGCCCAGCACCACTTTCCATTTATACATGCCAAGCCAAGTGCACAAAACTTTCTTTGCTCAGTCTCTCAATGATGCTTATTGAGATATATTTTTCGGAGGTGGGGGGGAAAAAAGTCTATCTTATTCATAATAAAATGAATTTAAACGGATGGATTTAAGTGGTAATCCAGCCATGGTCTGACAGAGAAGTGGCACCAAAGGAACTGGCACTCCCTTCAGGGGACCCTGTTGCCTCCACACTGAGATGATGCCAGGTGAGGGTCAGAAGAGCATCCTCCTCACAGGGTGATTAAACAGCTCAAGCAGAAAATTAGACCTGATTTTCCGCTTCAGAAATAAAAGTAAAACCTCAGTAAATGGATAAAACAAGTAACTGCAGCAATTGTTCTAATCTGGTCAATGATTCATCTTAGATGTGATGAAACTCAACTGAAATTTGGAGAGTGCTTGTCTGGAAGGGGAAAAAGTAACATAAAACCTCTTTTTCCCTCCTGCCCTCAACACTTGAAAATTAAAAAACAAAAAAAAAAAAAAAGCAAGGGAGTGTGGAGATAAATAAACCTTCTCCAAATTCCTTGTCATCGGGATTTGGTGTGGTACCTCAACAAGCTGAAACAGGGACACAGATTCTCCTTTTATAAAGCCAACCATTTAAAGAGTTGATTCTGGTTTTTATTAGCCTTGTGCTAGCTGCCACAAAGTTCACAAATGATGTTGAGGCATCTTTTATCTTGGGTACTATACTCAGTAACTTCTGGAGTCAGTAGAAACAGGTTTTGGATGGCATGAAGAAGTCAACTGAGGGAAACAATACAAGGTGAATCCCTGCTACTTCAGGGCAAGCTTTTCCCAACTCGGTTGGTATCACCTCAAAGCCCTGTCCCTCCTGTGAAGATTTCAGCCAGCACCCCAGACCACAAGCTAGCAACTACCATTAAATTTCCAGTGAAAACACCACCAGACCACTGCACAAACATTTGCCAAGAGCTTGCCCAGCCCTTCTCTAAATAAGCACAGAGCAGGTGTAGAGCTGAAGAGAGCTCTGTCTCTGGGACCAGTCTGTGTGTGGAGCAGGATGGAGCAAACCCCCCTGGATGCCACCACCCAGCTCCACAGCCCTGCAGCTCAGTTTATCCAGCTGTAAAGTGGGTAGAAACCCCTCATTAACAGCCTGGGTGTAATGCTGATTTAATTTCCATAAATCATCCCGTAAACTCCGATTAAAGTCTGTGTTGATAAATGCAAAATCCCATCATGGCTTTGCAGAAAGAAAACATACCAGAAGGCCAGCGTGTATTTCAGACTCCAAGAGCATTAATTCCACTGACATTCCTGCAGTTTCAGATTTTCAGGCTACACTAAACCCCACTGAAAGCACATTTGTGGTTCCTATCCTCATCCTAAAGCCTGAAGTGGAGCACAAGGCTCCTTGGCCACGCGTCTCCTCACCTGAAGATTTTTGTTGCCTCCTGCACCTCAACATCTGCCGGCAGAAAGAAGGGATTCTTCACCCACAGGGCAGCAGCAAAGCCAAAATCCCGGCTTGTGAAGGTGCAACAACGCAAAAATCAGAGCTCTACACCCATCCATGGAGCCAAAGCATTCTAGCACCAGGACAGCAAACAGGCTTCAAGGGTTGCCCTCTCCCAAAAGAAGCGGAGTCGAGCGAAGATGAAACGAAACCAAATTCTTTTCGTAGTTTAATTGCCAGAGTTGCCGGGGGACGAGTCCCTGGAAAGACCTCCTGTGCTGGATAATTATGTACCTCTATCTCAATGTTTGGAACACAGCCCCAGCATGCTTTTTGGCCTCCACAATTCTGGCTTCCTGACTACAATACCATAATCCCTCCTGGAGTCTCAGACTCAGTGAAAGCCACACGTAGTGTTTATTTTTCCCCTTGAAAGGGAACTCTGTCTCTCTTCTCAGCCTACACTTTGGGGAGGAGTTGTCAGCCCCCAATGATTGATGGCTCTCCTTGCCACTCGCTCATCAAGTCAATTTTCACCTCGTCACATACCTGCCCAAATTTTCTTTGCCAAACTGACAAGCATGGGAAAGCAGACTGGTTTGGGAGCCCAACCAAATTCCTCCAAGCTGTACTTCAGTTTAAACACACTCGCACACACAAACAAGTAGTACTTGTTCAGCAGTGGCATTAATTAAATTCAATGCTCAGTGTTCTTTTTAATCTACTTGCATTGTTGTTTATAAGATGTTTATCACTCCCCAGGGACAGTACGATTTGTAGAGTATGTTAACCAAATCAATACAATGCTCACTGTATAACTTTTCAGCATCTTTCTCAATTAGGAGGGGAATAGCAAAATCTGAGTGAAATATGGATCTTCCCTCCACAAAGAAACCTCAAGCGCTCCAGAAGCCAGGTATCTTCATCAGAAAAATCCAGGTAGATGAAGCTTTGAAGCTAACAGCTTTATGCACACGATTCCACCGTCAGAGGAATTGTGTATGGACAGAAAATGCAGAAATATACATCCGTCTACAAAAACATATATACACATATATATCTAACAAGGGTCTTCAGCAGAGTTCAATCTCCAAGCAAATCTGAGCATCACAGCTATTAAACATTAATTCTGAAGGACTAATGGGAACCGGCTGGCAGCTTCAGTACTTTTTCATTGTTTGAACTTCTTTCATTTGCTTTCCAGGACTATCCTGTTTTTCTCAAGTCTTTTGCCACCAAGAGATTGGGGAGGGGGGGGAAAAAAAATCTGCATTTTAATTGACATTCCAGAGAGCGGGAGAAGTCCAGAGGCTGCTGATTGCTGTCTATTCAGCCCAAACAGGCTTTTCAGATGAAAATGAGAAAAGGCTAGTGGAAGATTTACAGGGATTTGGTACAAAGGAGACAATAAAGTTTTAAATGTTGATAGCGTTTCACACCGAACGCATAATGGGTCCCGGTTTGAAGGGGCCGTTTTGCATTTAAATATATATTTCATTGATTTCTCTCCCCCCTTATCTCAGACGGGGCGCAGCACGGCGGGGCAGCACCGGGCTCCGAGCCGGGGCCGGGACCGAGCCGGGGCTGCTGCTCCGGGGCCGAGCTCCCCTTCCTCAGCCCGTGCTGCCTGTCCTGCTGTCACCGTCCCCAAAGACACCCGCGGGGATGCGGGGAAGGCAGGGGAACAGCGCTGCTGCTCGGGCTTCCCCCGCACCGCAGCGGCCACCGAGTGACCATAACCCGACCCGCAGCTCCTGCAGAGCGGAGCCCGGCAGCGGCACATTCCGCCCCGAGCCCGCACCGGGGGATCCCCGAGCCTCGCACCGGCACATCCCGCCCCGAGCCCCGCACCGGCACATCCCGCCCCGAGTCCGCACCGGGGGATCCCCGAGCCCCGCTGGAGCGCCGAGAGCGCGGCGGGACCCCAGCCCAGCCCAGCCCAGCCCAGGGCCGCCCCTTCCCCGGCCCGCCCGCTGCCTTTACCTGCGGCGAGAGCGCCGGGCGGGCTCCGCTGCGCGGCGGCTCCCGGGCTGGGGCGCGGTGCCGAGCGGCGGCTCCCGGGACGGGGCGAAAGCGCCGTCACTGCGGCCGCGCTCACTGCGCGGGCGGCCCCGGCTGGCGAGCCCGCAGCGGCGCAGCGCCGCGCATCCCCCGCGGGACGCGCCCGGGGCAGGCAGGAGGGCGGCGAGGCGAGGCAGGAGCCGGCCCGGCGCCCCGTCCCGTGCCCTGGCTCGGCCGCAGCGGCTACCGCCTCAGAGGGGCGAGCCCGCCGTGCCCGGCGCCAGCTGCCTCCTCCCCCGCGCGGGCATCGCCGAGCAGCGCGCCGCGGGTCCCGCTCCGCTCCATCCAGCCGCCCGCCCCGAGCCGCCGCAGCTTTGTCACGCCGACGGCCCCCTCGGGTGGGAGGTGGGTTTTCTCTCCCCCCTTTCCCCCTCTCGGCGCACTCCTCCGGCTCCTTCCTCCTCCCCCGGTCACTCCCCCCGCTGCAACCCGAGCCGTTTCCTGGACGGCGCTGCCGGGCTCTGCCAATCGCGGCCGAGCCCCTTCCCCCGCCCGGCCCTCGGGGGTGCGGAGCCGGCAGCGCCCACCCCGCCCGAGGGTCGCGGATGCCCCCGCGGCGCGGAGCCGGAGCGCTCGGCGGCCCCGGAGAGGGGCAGGAGGGGAGCGGGACCCCAGCTCCGGGCGCTGCCTGCCCGAGGAGCGGGACAGCTCATCCCGCGGGGTTGCAGGGGAGGAACCCCGAGCAGCTCCCGGACGGACGCTCCGCTGAAAGGTTTCCAGCGGGTTGGAAAGGAGAGGGAAGTGGGGAGCGCGGAAAGCGCCCCCGCTGAGGGTGAGCCCCGGCTGCGGCACCGGCACCCCGGCGCTGGGCAGCATCTGCATCCTCACACGAAAATGGTACCAGCTCAAAAGCGGTCCTCGAAACCTCTCCTGAAGTGTTTCTGGCTCAGAAGCCGTGGTTGGCCTGTGGCCAGTTCCATCTAGAGAGGGTGGTCGGATAACACCCGCTCCAAAAATCACCCTCGTGAGCTTCTCAGTCCAAAGCTTGATTGCAGCTGCGCCGTGAATTGGTCTGACAGTGCACATTTAATACCTGTGTGGTGCCCAAATGGGAAAAGTTGTCGAAAAGTTATGCAAACATCATTTGTTTGGACGCACAGATTTAAAACTGCATAATATGGGTATTCAGAATTCAATATAGCTTAGCCTGATCCTTGCTTAATAGAACATTTGCTTTAGATACCATCAACTAAAAGGTTTTGAATATGGAGTCTGTGTGATGCTTGCTTGTGTAGTCAGCTTGACAACAAAATCAATAAGTGGTGGTTGCCTCAAATTTAATCAGTGTTGATCAATTTAATGTTACTTTATTTAAACTCTACTGTACTTTTTATATGGTGTGTGCAGTATTGATCAAGGGGATTTTCAAGGGCTGAGGCCACACATCGTAGTGTAAGACTATTTACAAACACCTAGACACCAAAAACTTGAAAAGTTGTTTTCTGTAGAGTATGTACTTACCTCCCAGCATGTATTTTCCCACCACTACTGCAGTCTTTATGAGGGATGGCAGACAAATTTGTAATTGATTGGAAACACAGGTTTAGATTTTGTTTTTGTGGAGGGTTTTTTGTTGTTCCTAAAGCAACAGACATCTGAATGTTCTAATTGAGAAGCTGAGATGTCACAGTCAAGATCCAATTTTCCCAGCACCGGGCATGTCCATCGCCCATTGAAAACATTGTTAACACATTCTCACATAAATTATTGTCTGGCACAGGAAGCTGCAATACCTTTCCCCATTCATCGATATCTTTGCATGCTCTGAAAGAAAAGGAAGCATTCCACTAAAAATGACAAATCAGAACACCTATTTCCAAGGTCTGGAAGCACTTGTCAGAATTTATTCTTTTGGAGGATGAAAAGATAGCAGTCTATCAATAGCAGCCTTTTCTCTTAAATGAGCCACATTCTGCTAAAGTGGCCCACAACAGCCCAGCTCCTCAATCTGAGAAAAGCAGAAGCATGTTTGGAATTAAAAGGGTGGGGGGGGGAGATCAATTCTGTCATCATATTTAGGCTTCAAGAGATCTCAGTGGGCCCAGGGAGCCTTTCATAGCAGTTAGGCTGCTGAATGAGAGCATAATCTCTTTACAGTTTTTTCCTCCTCCTCTCAAAGTGGCTGGGATCCTTTCTGTGAGCCCTCCTGCACGTGAATGGTGTGGCTAATAAGCCTATTAATGAGGTTCCACAGCAGAGTGTGAATAGGTAAATAAGCCCCAATCTGTTGAGGTTCAGGAGCAAGGGCAGTAAAGCCATCATGGACTAAAGGTGACAGTTTGAACTGAAATAGGAACAACAGCTCCAGGTTTCAAGCGAAAGAATAGACAGACAAGGCACACATTCAGGCTCCTTCTACCCCCTACCGAGTCCTATTTTCTCTCCCATTCTTCCTCCTTTATAAAATGTCTTGAGTAGTCACCCATTTTTTCAAAAGCTCTTGAGACGTCCTTTTTCATCCTGGCAATGATACATCAATAGGGAGGAAGGAAAATGAGGACACCAATGCTCCTTTGCCCCGCAAGTTTCAAAAGCAGGAACAGCGCTGTGTGCCCTCGCATATGGAAGCGGGGGAGGAGAAAGAAAGTTAAATTGAATCTTTCAGCCCTGCCAGCTCTTTGTGGCTGCTGTCAGCCCAGCTCCGGTCCTCCCTCCGCACGCAGGCAGGGATACAGTTAATGTTCAACAGGGGCAGGGTCCGAGCCCGGCTCCAGCTGCAGCGAGGGCACAGCTGGGCTCGGCCAAATCCCCAGCAGAGGGGAGGAGATGGATTCATGCTGCCCTACATCTCTGTTACCTGCTGGGTAAGGTGAAGATGTGCTCCTGGGCTGGACCAGCAGAGCCCAGCTCGTCCACAAACGCCCAGCTGGAAGGGACGAAGGCAGAAGGTTCAGCAGGTGACAAACAGCTCGAGAGACGGGGTGAGATGGGCAAGCAGCCCCTCCGAGTAATGTGGGAAAAGTCACCTCGGAAACAAGCGCAGCACAGAGCTGCTGAGCGCTCTCAGTTCTGCTCCTCGCAGAC